CTTGGAGGCCTCTTGGGCGATCATTGGGCGATCTTTGGGAGCTCTCGGGCCGTATCGGGCCGTCGGAAGGCCGAAACAACGAAAAAGTCAAAATCCTTCAAACATCTATGGAAACTCAATGTTGTTGGCCTTTTCTGCCCTTCCTGGATGCCCTCTTGGAGGCCTCATGGGCCGTCTTGGGCCAGCTTCGAGCCAACTTCGGCCATCTTGGTGGGCTCCTGGCCCGTCTGACGCCGTCGGAAGCCGTCAGGGGGGCCTTTCTGGGCCGACTTGGGGCCTTCTTGGGGTGCTCCAGGGCCGTCTTAGAGGCCATCTTGGGCGTCTTGGAGGCCTCTTGGGTCGTCTTTGTGCCCTCTTAGGGCCGTCTTGGGGGCCTCTTGGGCAATCCTGCTCTTGAAGGCCTCTTGGGCGCTGTGGGGGCGATCTTGGGGGCCTCTTGGGCCGTCTTGGGTCGTCGGAAAGCCGATCAGAAGCGAATGCCAAAATCCTTGAAAAAATATAAGGAAATCAATGATTTGGGCCTCGTCGGGCCCTCCTGGAGGACCTCTTGGAGGCCTCTTAGGACGTCTTGGATGCCTCTGGGGGGCCTCTTGGGCCGTTTTGGGCCGTCGTGGACCCTCTTGGGCCGTCTGGGAGGGCGTCTTGGACCATCTTGGGCGGACTTGGAGGCCATCTTGGACCATCTTGGAGGCCATCTTGGGCCAACGTGGCCATCTTGGAGGCCATCTTGGGCCATCTTGGGCGAACAATTAGGGAATCGTGCTCCTTTCCGGGTGGCCTGCAGGACGGGCCGAAGCCCCAGGGGGAGTTCTTTTACAAAAATAGCCAAAACCAAAACCGAAATGGTCTAGCACGCCAGGCACGCCTGCGATGAATCGACAGGGGGCGGCGGATGACGGAAAGCGCGCGTTAGCGTGCGGTCCGTTAGTCGGAAGAAATTTGAATGGGGGGAGTTCGAGGGGGTTGGCATCACCGGACCCGGATCTAATTGCCCTCCCGCCTCGTGTTTTATCGAGTCGGGCGGCCCTCGGGGCTAAAAATCAGCGTTTCGCTCGAGACATCATCGGAAAACGCTTCTTGGGCGCTTCTTGGGCCGTCTTAGGCGCCTAAGACAGCCCAAGAAGCGGCCAAGACGGCGCCCAAGACGGCCCAAGACGGCCCAAGAAGCGCCCAAGACGGCCCAAGAGCGCTCCAAGAGAGCCCAAGACCGCCCAAGGCGGCCCCAAGACGTCCCAAGAGGCCTCCACGACGCCCCAGGAGGCGCCCACGAGGCGTCCCAAGAGGGCCCCAAGAGGCCAAAACCATTGATTTTCTTTAAGGAAAACGTGCATTTGTAGCATATACGGCTTTTCGCCTTTCATGGCGTTGCAGACGGTCCAAGAGGCCCCCAAGACCGCCCCAAGACGGCCCAAGATGTTCCCAAGAGGCCCCCAAAATAGCTCAAGAGGGCGCCAAGGCGGGCCAAGAGGCGTCCAAGACTGCCCAAGAGGCCCCCAAGAGCGCCCCAAGAATGCCCAAGAGGCCCCCAAGAAGGCCCCAAAACGGCCCAAGAGGGCGCCAAGACGGCCCAAGAGGCGCCAAGACGGCCCAAGACGGCCCCAGGACGGCCCCAAGAAGGCCCCAAGAGGCCCCCAAGAGAGCCCAAAGACGGCCAAAGGCAGCCTAGTCCCTTCACCCCCGCAGCCCAGAAGCCCCCAGGAGGCCCCAAGAGGCCACCGAAAAGCCCCAAAAGGTCCCCAAGAGGCACCCAAGAGGCTCCCCAAGAGCCCCCCAAGAGACCCAAAATACTCCCGCGGCTCCCAAGAGCGAGCGGTGACGTAATCGAGCTGATAAGACCAAAGCTCCCAACCGAGAGCTGCGACGTAATAAGTTCTTCGTCAGGGCACATGGACGGGCGGCAACGCGTGGACAACGAGCGGTCCACGCAAGGAAAACGCGGGGTTCTGGAAAGCTGGCGGCCCGAACGCGGAAAACGCAACGCGACCCGACCGCCCCCTCCAAAACAAGAAACGCGCTCAAAGAAAGCGCCGCGACTCTCCGAGGCTGAGATATGACAAGAGCGAGGGGAAGGGAGTCAATAAGAGGTGTAAGAGCGGACGAGCCAACGATCTCGTGCGCTCTGAAAGTAAATGCGCTTTCCGTCTCCGTGCCAAGCAGGTCTAGCGGCCTGCGGCTCATCCCGCCGCCGTGCCTGCGTAGGGCTCTCGGGGGCCTCGGGGGGGGGGGGGGGGGGGGGGCGGTGGCAGTTTCGAAGCTTCTTGGCTCTCGGGAGCCTCTGTGGGGCCTCCTGGGGCTTCCTGGGGGGCCTGTTGGGGGCGCCTCCAGGGTGCGCTCTGCCTCCCTCCGTGTTCCCATGGTCAGCGGTCCAGGCCTCTCGGGCTCTCTTGGGGGGGGTCCTCAGCTGTCTTGGCGCCCGCCCGGGCGGTCTCGGGCACTCGTGGGCACCTGATGGGCCCTCTCGTCGTTGCCGCTCTCGTCGTTGTCGTCGTCGTCGTCGTCGTCGTCGTCGTCGTCGTCGTCGTCGTCGCCATCGTCGCTGTCGCGAGGTGGAGGAAGTTGGGTGGGAAGGAGGAGAAGGAGGAGGAGGAGGAGGAGGAGGAGGAGGAGGGGGACGTGGGGGAGGGGGGGTGGGGAGGAGGAGGAGGGGCGGAGGATGAGGAGGATGAGGATGCGGATGAGGATGAGGAGGAGGAGGAGGAGGATGAGGAGGAGGAGGAGGAGGAGAAGGAGGAGAAGGAGGAGGAGGAGGGGGACGTGGGGGAGGGGGACGTTGGGGAGGAGGAGGAGGAGGCGGAGGATGAGGAGGATGAGGATGAGGATGAGGATGAGGAGGAGGGGGAGGAGGAGGAGGAGGAGGAGGAGGAGGAGGAGGAGGAGGGGGAGGAGGAGGAGGAGGAGGAGGAAAGGGAGGAGGAGGAGGAGGAGGAGGAGGAGGAGGAGGAAGAGAAAGATGAGGAGGAGGAGGAGGAGGAGGAGGAGGGGGCCCCTCCCGAGAGGCCCAAATCCGTCCGATACCTAAGGGACTTGAAGTGCGCTTGCCTTCTCGCCTTTTCGAATCTGGCCTGTGTCAGAGGGGCTCGAGACGGCTCCAAGACCGCCCCACGAGCGCCCCAAGAGAACCCCAAGATACGACGATTCGTAGTACTCAATCTCGGGGACGGTAGTTAAAAGCCCACCTTCGCACAAAGCTAAAATCGTTGTGAGCCTCAGGTGTTTGCCAAATGATGGCATCTCGGGGGCATTATTTGGAGAGGTCTGGGCCCCGCTGGCCCCGATATGGCTGAAGGTAGCAAAAGGTGGCATCTAATATGGCGCAATCTGGTCCAAAATTGCTGCGCGTAGCCTCCGACATACCTCCAAGAGGCCCAGAGACCGCCCGAAAACTGCTCCACATGGCCACGAAACCTCCCAAGGACGCAACCTGGGGGCCAACGTCCGTCCAAAACCTATGAAGGCATACTGATGTTGGCATTCCCGACTTTTCGATTTCAACAAATCTTTTGAGGCCGCCAGATGGCTTCCAGATCGCCCAAGAGAGCCCCAAGAGGGGCTCAAGGCGGCTCCAAGACGGCCGCAATAGCGCGCCAAGAGGGCCCCTATAGACGATGTGTAGGGCTCCGAAGGAGAGACATTTTTCGTACCTTCGTTGATCGATGGCCTCCAAGATGGCCCCAAAGCCCCGACTAGGGCCGCACGGTCCCTAGGAGTGCCCCGAAAGAGCCCTACCTCGGCCCCAAGAGTCCCTGAGGCCTCCAAGATGGTCCTGAGAGGGCCTGAATAAGCTGCCTGGGGGCTCCCAGATCGCGATGGCTGACTCCTGGGTCTGATCAGGCTGATCCCGAGATTTGGTTTGACAGCTGCTTCCCCCTTCGTTTCACTGCTTGCTCTGGCAATTCACTGATCAAAGCAACTCGCATGGACATCGTCCCTGGATGGGCTATTGGGGACACAGGTTGTCAACCATTTAACCACTGCGGCACCAACGGAAACGGACATGCGATGGAACGCGCGCGTCAAACAGTAAAGATGCTCCGCACGCGCGCACGCGGAACAGAACACAATCGCGCAGACTTCTCTGGGCGGCGCGCCCAGGTGGGAAGCGAGAAGGGGCGGGCCTTCTGAGACGGCTCCGAAGTCCCCAGGCCTTCTGCCAAGGCTCTCTGAGCCTTTCCCGAAGACGCAAACACAAACCTCTCAGAGGGCGCGACGGCTTCTGAGAAGCCCCGCCACCTTCTGAGAAGACCTTCTCCTTCTCGCTGCCCCCCCTCGCTCGCCGCCTATTCTCCTCTGGTCAGAGACTTGCGCGCGAGAGCGCATCCTCGACGCCGGCGGCGCGAGGAGGGGTCAAGGCGAGGAATGGAAAAGCTCTGGGCTCCTCCGAGGACCCAGACCTGCCCGAAGAACACCGGCGCGCCTTATCCGAAACCGCTGGCCCCGGCATCCCGAAGATGACGGAGCCGAGCCGACATGCTCTCGGGGGCGCGCGTGGTCAGAGCTCAGCTGCCGCGACATGCAGCACGCAACACGTAGCGTATTTCTTCATACGGAGCTCCACACGTAGACTGAACACGCAGGTATGACGCGATACGTTCGCCAAAACGTGGTGGGCCGATACGCTGAGCCAACACGCAACGCATTGGTACGGACGTTTTGAGCACGGTACGTGTTGCGTTTCAAAACGAACGTATCGAGGTAGCTGAAGATCATGATAAATGCCTGGATCCCAACTACATACTGCGCAATACCCCAACACGGATTTGCAACCGAGCCAGACCGAATCTCAACAGGAAGCCGCATATCGGGCACTGACGATTGAGGTTGCTTTTTGAACAAGTTCGTCTACTCCTCGCCCACGACGAATTTGGGCTGGATCCTGGGGCACCCTGACGCGGCGCGTGAATCCGCAGAGATCTCAAAGCTCGGCCTGGCTTTCCGACAAGCGCCCCTGGGCGCGAGTGAAGAGGCGGAGGAGGAGGAGGAGAAGGAGTACGACGGCAGTCCTCCTTCTGCCGCTGCGACTCGTACCACTGGCGCCTCTCGTTGTCTCTCTTCTGCGCTTCCACGGCCTCGTCTGCCTTCTTCTGGCGCTCCTGCCCAGAGGAGGAGTGGCCGCATTCGCTTGGCCGCCATTGCAAAAAGTAACTGATGAAAAGAAGGCGGCTGCAAAAAAGGGTAACGTTTCCAATTGCGACTGTGATATGGCGGCGGGAGTTCTACACACATCACCGTGCCTCGAGGCACTTAGCGGATTGCTCTCAGGTCCACTCGAGTCCCCGCTAATGAGTCTTGCAAGTGCAGTCTCATGGCCCAAGGTTGCTCATTTCCTGGGCTCTCCCCGGCGCTCGTGGGCGTTGCCGAGGCAGGTCGAACAACTGTTCCAAAGGCCTTGGGAGCGTGGCTCAGAATTGAGCAGGGACCCACCGTCCCGGCTTTTCTATAGGCCTACCACGACATATTCTTAGAACCCAAAAATGTTCTACGAACAACAACAGTGTTCTTAGAACATCAACCCGGTGAGTCAAAACAAGACAGTCTCGGCCAGAAAAGTTCTAAGAACATTTCGTGTAATTCGCAAAAGGTTCTCAGAACATTCTTTGGTAGGCCTATAGGCGAGCCAGCACGCTTCGCCACTACTTGAACGATGGGAGCCCCAAGGGCAGGTCCCGAGGCCTTCCGAGGCTCGTTGTGGAGACCCCTGGGGGCCGGCCGAAGAGTCCCAAATCATAGAACAAAAAACATGGTTCATGCACGATTTTCGCATGCTCGCCTTTTGGGTCACAAGGCGTCCAAAATGGCCCAAGGTGCCCCCAGCATCGCTCCAAGCCGGCCCCAGAGACAGCCGCGGGGGGCCCAAGAGGCATCCAAGAGAGGCCAAGAGAGGGAACTCGAATTGGCCCTCGGGGACCTCGATTCCAAGATGGCCCTGAAGGCCGCCAGCAGGCCCCCAAGATGCGCCCCAGAGGCCCCTAGAAGGCACCCAATATCCCCCAAAAGGCCGCAACGACGTCTCCAAGAGGCCTTCCGAGAGACGCCGACGAAGCCCCTGAATCACCCCAAAGAAGCCGCACGGGGATGGACCGACGGCCACTGGCTTCGGCCCCAGTTGAAGGCCCAAGGCGACAAGAATAGCTGAATTTTTGCTTTTCCCACTCCACGAGTCCCAGTGGTAGGGTTGGAGGTCGGAGGGTGAGGCCAAAGTGAAACTACAGGCTTTCTAGATGGGGTTGAGTCGATGGGGTCGAAATATTGCGCCGCATCGCCGATGCATCGGCGACGTCGGCGGTGCGTCAGCTAGTCGGCGACGCCGCAATGGAGAAACTCGGCGTTGCATCGGCGATGCGGCGCGATCCTCCGACCTCATCTGCCAGAACCCTTTTTGGGCGACCCAGCGAAACGCAGGCCCCTGAACGGGAGATCGGTCTCGGTGTCGGTCCGTGCCGCGCGCGCGGGCGAGCCGAAGCTGCGCGAGGGTGAGTGTTCAACCCCGCCCTACAGCTAGACCCTGGGCGAGCCAAAAAGGGTCGCGTGGACCCGGGCGTGCCTTTTGTTGCCCCGCGGTTGTCCCGCGGTTGTCCCGTGGCGTGCCCAGGGTTGTTCCGCGCTCGTCCCGAACAAAAACAATGTTCCCCAAACAGCTTGCTGAACATGGTGCCGTTGTGATTAGTTCGGCCCGAGGGACCCGCGCAACGAGGCATCCTCAAGACTTTGAGGTGATCTGGGTCGTTTCGCATGCGACATCTGCACAACTTTCGTTTCTGAAACAGCCAGGATTGGGTCTGAATTGGGTGTTTCGCCTGTGCCATCCTCGCAACTCTGGGGTCCGAGATGCCGCGCGCGAGGTGGTCCAGCTCGTTTCGCAGGAGGTATCCTTGCCACTCAGAGCTCCGAGATGCCGCGCGCAAGGTGGTCCCGCGCGATTCGCCTGAGACATCTTCGAAGCTCGGTGCTACGTGATATGCCGCACGAGAGGTGGTCGGGCATGTTTCGCCTGAAACATCCTCGCAACTCTGAGCTCCGAGATGCCGCGCTAGAGGTTTTCCGGCGCGTTTCGCCTGAGACATCTTCAAAACTCTGGACTCCGAGAGGCTGCGCGAGAGGTGGTTCAGCCTGTTTCGCATTAGACATCCTCGCAACTCTGGGCTTTGAGATGCCGCGCGCGAGGCGGTCCCACGCGTTTCGCCTGAAACAGCCTCGCAACTCTGGGCTTTGAGATGCCGTGCGCGAGAGGTGGTCTGGAGCGTTTCGCCTGAGACATCCCCGACACTCTGGGCTCCGAGATGCCGCGCGAGAGGTGGTTGGGCGCGTTTCGCTTGAGACATCCACTCCACTCTGGGCTCCGAGATGACGCGCGAAAAGTCAACTCTGGTCTGCGACAGGCCGCGCGCGAGGCGGTCTGGTGCGTTTCGCCTAAGATATCCTCGCAACTCTGGGCTGTGAGTTAACGCGCGAGAAGTGGTCCAGAGCGTTTCGCTTGAGACATACCCGCAACTCTGGGCACTGAGATGCGCGAGGTGGTCCAGCTAATTTCGCCTCATCCTCGAAACGCTGGGCTATGAGAACATGTGCGCGAGGCTTTCCAGCGCGTTTCGCCTGAGACATCCTCAAACCTCTAGGCTCCGATATGCTGCGCGCGAGCAATCTGGCCCGTTTTATCCGAGATATCCTCGAAACTCTGGGCTCCGAGAGGGAGGAGGGAGGAGGGGTCAGACCCAAACGAACCACTTGATTCCACTCCTGATGTCGAATTGCACTCTGGGAGGGTTCTGGGCTTCGCCTGAGACATCCTCGCAACTCTGAGCTCCCAGATCTAGCGCGCGAGGCGGTCCAGCCCGTTCCGCCTGGCACTTCCTAGCAACTATGGGCACCGAGATGCCGCGCGCGAGGTGGTTCAGCCTGTTTCGCATTAGACATCCTCGCAACGCTGGGCTTTCAGATGCCGCGCGCGAGGTGGTCCCACGCGTTTCGCCTGAAACAGCCTCGCGTCCCTAAGCACCGAGATACCGCGCGCGAGAGGTGGTCTGAACCGTTTCGCCCGAGACATCCTCGAAACTCTGGGCTCCCATCTGCCACGCGAAGAGGTGGTCAAGCGCGTTTCGCCCGAGACGTCCTCGCAACTCTGAGCTCCGAGATGCATCGCGAGAGGTGGCCCCGCGCGTTTCGCCTGCAACATCCTCGCAACTGTGAGCGTTGTTTTAATCGGCGTTCCGACATTGGGCGGCAAGGGAGGGGGGAGGGGGGGGTCTGGCTCCAGACCTCTGCTTAGTGCGACTGTTTGCAAGAGAACTGCCTCTGGGGAAGACTCCACCCGCTCGAACCAGGAACCAACAAAGAGCTGAGATCTACTCCGCACCTCGGGGCTCCGAGATGCTGCGCGCGAGCTAGCCAGGGACCGACCGTGCCGGCATTCCTATAGGCCTACCACGACATGTTCTTGGAACCCGGAAATGTCAAAAACAAAAACAATGTTCTTGGAACATAAGCCCGATGTGATAAGGCAAGACAGTCTCAGCCAGAAATGTCCTAAGAACATTTCGTGCAGACCACAAGAAGTTCTTAGAACATCATTTGGCAGGCCTATAGGCGGGTTAAGACGCTCCGCTACTGCTTGAGCGAAGAGTCTGGCTCGTTTCGCCTGGGGCATCCTCGCAACTCTGGGTTCCGAGGGGCAGGAGGGAGAGGGGGCAGGCGGAGTCCGGCCTAACGAACTGCCTGATTACCCTTAAATCGGGAATGTCCCCCTACAGGGCGATTTTGGACAAGATTTCTTTTTTGAAGAATAATTTTTAAAAATACTCCCAAATTGAAAAACATAGTCAACAAATCGTCCCCAAACTATTTTTTGACTATTTTTTATTCCTCCTGTAGAGGGACAGGCCCGACTTACGATTGCCCTTCTGTTGCCGAATTCTGTTATGCGAGGGATCTGGACGCCGCCTGAGCCGTCCTCGCAACTCTGAGCTCCCAGATGTCGCGCGCGAGGCGGTCCAGCCCGTGTCGCCTGGCACATCCTTGCAGCTCTGGGCTCCGAGAAGATCTGCGCGGGAGGTGGTCCAGCCCGTTTCGCCTGAGACATCCTCGCAAATCTGAGCTCTGAAAAAAAATGCGCGAGGTGGTCTGGCCCGTCTCGCTTGAGACGTACGACATACTCGCAACTCGGGGCTCAGAGATGCTGCGCGCGAGATGGTCTGGCCCGTCTCGCGAAACCCTGGGCTCCGAGAGGGAGGAGTGAGGAGGGAGGAGGCAGGGAGGGGTCAGACCCAAATCACCCATCTGATGGCACTCCTGTCGTCGAATTGTACTCTGGGAGGGTTCCCGGCGCCCCTGGCCCGACGGAGGAGGTAACCGGCAACGAGGCGCGATCAAGATTTGTGAGCGCCCCTGGTGTCGGAGCTACTGAAAGGGCGGGAGGGGGAGGCGACAGGGGAAAGCAAGATGGGAGAGCAAGATGGTATTGTCGGAACCATTTTCACATCAAATGTCCCCAACGTCGACCCCCAATATGTTTGTGTCTCCACGCCGCCATACCCCCCCCCGCCGTCGCCCAAGCCACCATATTCGGATGCACGGTGCAAAAAGCCGAGATGCAGCGCGAGCGAGACGGACGGGGAGAGAGACAGAGGCATGTATGAGTCAGCACGGCGGCGCACAAAGCTGGCAGAAGTCTCCAGCCCCCCCAGAGGGGCACCATCCTCGTGACGGTCGTAACTTTTCGAAGGCAGGGCGCCTGAAAAACAACTGGCCCACAGAGCCAGCAGAGGTCTCTGGCCTATCCAGAAGGGGCACCAACCTGGTGAGGGTCGCCAGTTTTCGGGGGCCAGGGCGCCTGAGGCACAACTGGTCTACAGAGCCGGCAGGAGGGGTCTCCAGCTTCTTCAGGAGGGCACCATCCTCATGAAGGTATGTTGTTTTCAGGGCCAGTGCGCCTGAGGCACACCTTGTGGTTCCAGAGGTTGCCTGTGTGGCTCTGGTCTTCCTGAGTTGTGCGTGCATGCGCGCGCGGCCTGCGCGCAATTCGAATTTGGTTATGCGCGCTATTCCGAATCCTGGGCGGCTTCTTCACATGTGGCCAATTTTGTGTCTAGACGAACGTGCGTTCTCGCAGATGGCGGTTTGCTATTCTTATTCATTCACAATCTTGACTGAACACCAGATATGACAAACAAAACGGACCGCGAGGAATCCACGGAGGGACTTCGAGGGGCCTTGTGGCAGGTCCCTGGGGATCCAGCAGCATGGAAAAGCCTGATGCTATAAATGTTTGACAAGTTTGATCCTGCTGCCTCAGTGCATCCGATGAGCCCACAGACGGCGATGGCCGACCCCGGATGGCGCCCCAGTGATGCGGGAGCCCCTCCCCCGCCCCGGACGCCCCAAGAGAAGGCTCCAAACGGCCCGGGACACCTCCATGACGACCTCAGGATTAGGTCGGGCATGTCCCCTACAGGAGGAGTTTGGGCGGAAAATTAAGAATGCCCCAAACAGATTTTAAAACGATTCAGAAATACAAAAAAATCGTCGTCCGACTATTTCTTACACTATTTTGGAATATTCCTCCTGTAGAGGGACGTGCCCGACTTAACCTCTGGACAACCAAGCCTTCAAACTGCCGAAGAGCTGCCCAATACGGTCCCAAGACCTCCCAGAACGCCCCCCCGGCCCTGCACGCACAGCCCCAGGCCCAACCTGACCCCCCACAGGCCGCCAAGAAGACTCTGGGCCGAGCAAGAGTCCCCGAAGTTGCCCTGGTCCAAGTATCTCCCGAGAGACCCCCCAAATGCAACCAAGATCCAGCAAAACAGCCGCACAACGCTAGAGCCGTGCCACGGGGCGGCATCGCGACGCGACCTCCCTGAGCGTGGCGGCGGATGTGCGCGGCAGCGCGGCTGGACTCGGAGACCTTCTTCTTCGGACATCGAGGAACCTGCGCCGTGGTCGCTGCGGCTCATCTCATCACGCTAGCGGCGGCCAGCGCCTGAGCCTTCCGCTCGGCGGCCTTGGCCTGCAAGCTCCGCCGCAATGGGAAGCCGTCTCTGTCGGAAGCTGCCACGCCAGCCGCGCCGTTGCGCCCGCTCTGGCGGGCCAGCTGCGCGAGCAGCTCGGCACGGAGCCCCGCCTTCCGGGCTTCCCCGTCGCTCGCCCCGCCGGCCCGCCGCGAATCCGGCGCGCGCTCTGCCTGGGCACGGCGCTTCCGCTGGCCCTTGCTGCGGCCAGCGCAGGGGCCCGCATCGATGCAGACGGTGGCACTGCCGCGGCCGGTAGCGCCGCGGCCGCTGGCGCCGCAGCCGGCGGCGCCGCCAGAGGGTGATTCCTAAGGGCTTTGTCGACATTTGTCCAATCGACTTGCGGAGATCAGGCCCACCAAATCGGGGCAAATCCTTCGACCTGCACCGTACGTACCTTCCGCGCGGAAGATGCCGCCGCGGTGCGGCCGCGGCGGCCGCCGCTGCTGCCTCGACGGCCGCGGCAGCGCGGCATCTGCCACGCGGAAGATGCGGAAGGTGCAGGTCGAGGGATCCAGATACATCGAAGTAAACCTGGATAAATCGAGGTCACCCATGGATCTGATGGAAATCTGGAGCAAATCGTGGACGCTCCAGCGCGAGTCGACTGATAGCAGCTGTCGTTAAACCCTTGACGGGGCGATTCCTCGGCTGCAGGCAGCGGATCTGCCGCGCCCAGGCGCGGCGCTTCCTCCACAGCGCCAGCACCCTGCGCGTCCAGGCTGCGGCCGCACATCACGTGCCCCAGCGCCTGGCAGCGCATGCAGCGCACGCCCCGCCAATTCTCCCAGCGGGCGGCGTCCACCTGAGCGAGAAAGAAACGGGTCCTACGCGAGTTGGCATAGCGACCTTACGCAGTCGCTCACGCGGGCCGCCAGCGCGGCGCGCTTTGTTGGAAGCGAGGGCGCCTGCCCGCGACCATACGCGAGCAGCTGAAGCGCCAATGTCGGCCCCGTCGACCCCGGTTTCTGGCGTCACTCACCTGCACCTGCCAGAGACAGTCGGCGGCCTCATGACCTTTCCGGCCACAGATCTCACATTTTGTCTTGAACTTCGGGCAGTGTTTCACATCATGGCCCAGGGCGAAGCAGATGAAGCAGCGGCGCTGTGGGCAAGCCCAAGATTTGTGCGCCTGCAGACATATCAAGCACACCTGCTTTGCTCCCAACTTGGTGAGGTTGCCGTCATCCGTGTGGGTTGCTGTCTTCGAGCCCCTGTCCCCGCTGAAGAAGCGGGACGACTCCGCGGCCAACAGCGCCCCCGTGCGTGCCTTGGTGAACTGCGTGCTCAAGTACTGGGCCAGGTGTGGGAGCTGCCCCGCATCCTTGAAGGCGCCCAATGACACACAAATAAAAACACACACACAAATCCAAGGATTCCCAATATTTTCACATATTTTCAAAGTTTTTGTCTTCCACCCCACTTTCCATATGTTCCAATATTTTCCTGGGAGTCGACGATTCATTGTGTCTGTGATTTTTGTTCTCCCCTCCTGATTCCTGGTCGTAGGCAGCCGCGGCCCCGGCCGCAGCGCCCTCCGTGCCGCTGGCGTCGGCTGCAGCGCGGGGCGGGGCGACACACAGGTGGCAGAAGCGGCACCTCACGCCGTCCCTGCAGCCGCCCCGGCTGGCGTGGAACCTGTCGGGGTGTTCGTGACGGGGGGCGGGGGCAGCGAGCGTGGAGGGAAGCAGCGGGCACCCCTCGCGCACCCTTGCGGGCCCGCGGTGGAGATTCAGGGGCCGTTCATGAGGGAACCTGAAAGTACACGTCGTTCATGTCTAGTCGTGCTCATGTCTACTTGTGCTCGTTTCTAATTCTTCCTGGCCCCCTAGTGGCCAGGAAGAGACCCAGGATAGAACAACTAGAAATAAAAGGACCTTGGCCCCCCCAGAAAATCAAAGACCTTTCGAAGAATTAGAATTGACAATGTGCACCGGTGCCGCTGCTCCCTGGACCGCTCCTGGGGCGCGTGCTGACCAGGACACCGAGGCGAAGCCAGCGGTGAGAGGCGAGGGCCGGCCTCTCCCAGAAGGCCGCCATAGAGGGCGAAAACGGGGGACGGGTAGGGGAATGAGTGAATTTTTTGTCGTTGAGTTTAGGGCTCACTCAAGGCTCATCCTCCTCCTCCCTTCTCCTCCTCCTCCTCCTCCTCCTCCTCCTCCTCCTCCTTCTCCCTCCTCCCTTGAGGGCCACGTCCCTGCAATCATTGACCTCCCCGCGCTGACTGCCACCCCCCGCCGCCGCCCGCCAGAACACCTGCAGGCTGCCTTGCAGCTGCCGGGGTGCCCCCTGGACCCGGCCGACGGCGCAGGCTCGGCGTCCACCCTGGCGCCGTCCGTCTCTTCTGGAGCACTCTGGGCTTCCCCGGCGCAGCGAGTCCTCGTCTTTCGGCGGTTCACAGATGGGGTCCTGAGGCATGGGGTCCTACGGATCGGAAGGGATCCAAGGGTGGATCTACATTGATTGAAGCACCTCGTCCTTAGGACCCCACCCCTCAGGACCCCATTTTGAACCCCTGATTCCTCTTCTTCCGCCCCAGCGGTCCCCGCTCTGCGCTTGAGGGCGGCAGCTGCAGGCTCTCACCAACGACGTCCACGAAGAAGGCGGCGTTCTCGTCCGCCTGTTGGCATGAGGCGAAAGCGTCCTGGCGGAAACGTGCCCTGGACACACGCGTGGCTCTCCCCAGGAGAACCTTTCCGCCCCGAGTCGTGCTCGACGGCCCTGGGGCCTGGGGAAGGGCACCGGCGAGCCCGACGACGGCGAGACCGCAGCTGAGATCACCGCTGTGGTTGCTGAGGGTGGAGGCTAGAAGTGGATGTTGAGGTGGGTTATCTGCCACCGTGCCCGTCTGGGCACAGAGTGAGCGTGTCCTCAGCTCCTTTGCCTGATCCCTCAAGCCTCAACCTTCGATCCCGAGGAGTCTTTTCGGGGCCCATGGCCCCAAATCCTACCAGCCCTCTGGGCGACAGGTGGTCTAGGGAGGGTCTCTTTCCTCGTCCACAACCCCTCTTGCCTTCGGGGAGGAGAACCCTCTCCCTCCCCTCCTGGAGGTTTTTCTGGAATTTCGCGAGGTGTCTCAGGCTTCTGTTTCGGCCAGTGGGAGGGCCAATTTCTGACACCACTCACGAGGATTGTGGCCCCCAAGGGGGGCACGAACATCGAGGACCCCCCTCCCCTTGTGACCGACCGCCTCCAAGATGGCCCCAAGAGGCCCTAGAGGGCTCCCAACAGGCCCCTGAGAGGACCCCACGAGCGCCCCAAGAGGCCCCAAGAGGGCCCGAAGAGGGCCCCGAGAGGCCCCCGAGCGGCCCCAGAGAGCCCAAGATGACCTTCAAGATGGCTCAAGATAGCCCAAGCTGGCTCAAGATGGCTCCCAAGATGCTCCAAGAGGCCCCACGACCGCGCCAAGACGGCTCGAGATGGCCACGGAGCCTCCCCAGGAGGCCGCCAAGAAGCCCGGCACCCCCACCCATGCCGCGGCGCGTTGCTCCTCTTGCCTCCTCCCTCCTCCTTCTCCTCCTCCTCCTCCTCCTCCTCCTCCTCCTCCTCCTCCTATTCATCCCGCCCCCACGTGGGCCCGGAGATGGCCCCAACACGCCGTCCAGGCCGGCCTCCCTCGCTGTTCGACTATGCGTGTCTCTTCCTCTCTCCCCCCGTCAGCTCTCATGGGCATCGTTTCTGGAAGGGCTGGTGGGGATGCTTTTTTGGTTCGCGGCTCCAAGGCAAATGTCAGGGAACAAACGCAGCGTCCGGGATGCGGTACGGAGCGAATTTGCGTACAAAGGCTGGTGGGGATGCGCGAAGCGTCAAGAACTATCAAACCTCTCGGGGGCTTCCCGCATGCCCGGGGCGCCTTTCCGCAGGACCCTTTCGGGCCCGACGTGGCTCCAAATCGGTCCAAGAGGGGCTCGAGAGGCCGCACAGACGGTCGAAGAGGGGCCCGAGCCGCCGAACGATCGCTCCCAAATCTCCTAGATGGCCTCAGGATGACCCAAGAATCTCCCCAAGACGCCTCAAGAGTGGCACAAGAGGCGTTCCGAAAAGGAGCTAAGCGGTACAATCCCAAGAGACGTTCAAGGTTCTAAGATTGTAGCGTTTCCGCCTTTTCGACTTCCCGACGCTCCAAGACAGCCAAGGAGGCCCCCACGACCGTCACAAGACAGCCCAAAAGGCCACCGAGGAGGGTCCAAGACAGCTCAAGAGGGCCCCAAGACGGCCCAAGAGGCGCCCAAGACGGCCTCAAGATGGCCCCAAGGAAGGGGACCACGGACCGAAAATTCGAATCTTCCGCCTCAACAGAGCTCTGGAACCTTGGAAGGTTCCAAGAGGCGCCCAATATGCCCCAAGAGGCGCCCAAGAGGCCTCAAGAGGCCACAAGAGGTCTCTAAGAGGCCCCAAGACGCCCCAAAACGACTCACACGAGATCACACCGAACGTTCACGAAGCCTCAGACACACAACCCAGGCACGGTGGTGGGATGGGCCGAAGGCCATTCGATATCTGGTCGAACCTGGCCTCTAAAGGGTTGCATGTGCCATGAAGAAATCAGAAACGATCAGATCACTTCGCCCAGTGAGCTCCGGTCCCCCCAAGCAACTGGGGGCACTTGCAAAACACTCTTTTGAGCTAGGCTCAGCCAGATATACCGCACCTTAGCACCCGCGTCTGACCTCAGAGGCCCCCGTTCCTTCACGGCCCCTCTTCTTCGTGGCGAGCCTCAGCATCGCCCCCGCGCCGCGCGAGGGGCCCCTGGCGCGGGCGCCTCTTCTGCGCGGCCTCCCAGTGGCGACGCCTGCGCCGGTGCCGGGAGAGGCGGCCGCAGCCGCCCATGCGAGCTGCCCGCGGCCCCGCCACGGCGTGCGCATGCCTGTCGCCGGGCCTCACCCCGGCGCCCTTTGGCTGGCTGCCGCGAGGTCGCTGGAGAGCCCAGACGGAGACAGAGCACGGAATGCCTGGCACCAGAACTCGACGGGGTCGTCGTTCTCGGTTCCTGGGAGGCCCAGCAGCCGTCTGGGCGCAGGTGGTCGGGGGCGACACTGCTCTTCATGGCTCCCCATCTGGGGAGTGTTCACCACAGCTCCTTCATCATGAGCTCCCCCCCCCCACTTCACAGGCCGCCGACCAGGAACAGTGCGACTTATCCCTGTTCCCGTGTCACGTAATCTCTCCACCGAACAGAGCAGGGGAAAAACATTGTTCGTTGTGATTGTTATCGTTGGTATCGTCATTAACGTTGTTATCGTTGACGTTGTTACTGTTGCACCAAAGCACCGCAAACTGCATGTGGCGGCAGAAGCACTGCAACTGCATGTGTTCCCCGCGAGCACTCTGCAATGGATGCTCAGAAGGATGGCGGAGGGATCCTATCTGTCCGATGTGCGCTGGCCGATGCGAGCTCATTGTTTGGCGGTGAGCCAGTGTGGGAACGGAGAAAGGATAGAAGGCCTTGGGCCTTCTCCTCAGGCGTTGCCTGAGCCTTCCCCGAGCACGCAGAAAACTTCTAAGAAGGCGCGATGGCTTCTGATAGTAGAGGACAGAAAAACCACCCCAATAATAATCACCCCGCCAAGCGAAGCTGTTTGATAAACGCGCCCAAGGAAGGGATCGAACAGGGCGGGGCTGCTTAGTAAACGCCTAGGGCCGCTTAGTAAACGTCAATTGTCGGGTCTGGGTGGTTTTTCTTCCCTTGAGAGAAGCCCCGCCGCCTGCTGAAGGAGGGCGTGCCCCCCTCTCACTTCCCCGCCAGGGCTCACCGCCGACTATGTGGGTGCACGCACCATGCCCCCTGCTGGCCACACCGCCGCCACTCTGGCAAGCGTTTTTTTTTGCGGCGTTTCGACATTGGGCGGAAGGGGGGGGGAGGGGGGGGGTCTGGCACCGGACCTCCGCTTAGTGCGACAGTTTGCAGCACTGGGTCTTATGAAGGGATACTCCACCTGCTCGATACAGGCGCCGAAAACAGCCAAGATCCACTTCAGTGGGGGGGAGGGGGGAGGGGGGGGGGGCGAGGGCCCGCGCCGATCGGCAAAACAATGAATAAAAAAAGATCACCTGCCGTCTCTTTTGTTTGGAGGGGATGGCTCATGTGTGCTGTCACGTGCATTGGCGCAGCTTGCGAACTCTGCGCGCCTCGCCCAACTGCCTAGCGCACCTGGTGGGGCATGCTGGCGCACGAGGCACACTTGGCGCGCATGAAGCACGTGGCGCGTCTGGCGGTCCAGGCACTTCCCGGCACGCTTGGGCCCCATGGGCACCTGGCGCAGCTGGTGCGCGCGGCGCACCCCGAAAGTATCGCGCTCCTGGTGTCTGTATTGGTTCACAACGGCTGCCTGTCCGATGGCGACCTCTGCCTGTGCTGAGTGCGACCAGCCAGAGCGTCAAAGGTGACACTGGGTAGCTATAAGATGGCACCAGGTATCCCAAGATTGACTCCAAGATGGCGCAAGGAAGCTCAAGCTGGCCTAGTGGCCTCCAATATGTTTGCGCGAAGCCCCACTGAGACACCAAGATGGCTCTCAGGTGGTCTACGGGCGCCAACGCACGCCACCCATAAGCTCAATCACCGAGGCACATCGCGTCGACATGTGGATGATGCACCCTCTCGTTTTGACCAGGAAGACTCCACCCGAGAGGATCCCAAATTCCCATAAGAGCACATGCAAGACAATACACATATATCAATTCGGGGTCCAGGAAAGGGGGCCTCCATTGACGGGCCCGCTCCTGTTTGCATGTCCCCAATGTAGGCTCAACCGAGCCCGAGCGGCTCGCGCGCAAGCTGAAACAGCAACCACCTGCCTAAAACTGGACAAATGTGGCCCCAAAGAAGGCCCTAAAGACTCCCGGCAAAACTCACCGAGGACACAGACATTTCGCCACCCAGACTACTTGGGCTCATTCGTCATGTAATTGTACGGGTACTTTTCTTGCTGCTGCAACCTCCCCATACAGCACCTCGAGTCGGATTAGTTTACGGTTGGCCTGGTGGGAATGCGCTGAGCCTTAAGAATAGTACGGCTCTTTGCACCAGGACTGCCTAGCAACACACGATCGAATACTGCGACAATTCTCTCAGGCAGGAATACAAGAACGGAGACACCAGATCAATACAGCAAGCCCGCAGCCACGCATAAGCGCAAACATACCCAAGCGAGCTCAATCAAGCATGTAGACAGCCAGCAACGCATGCAGAAACGCAAGCACGCAAACAAGCACGAGTCGACACGGGCGCCCATGGGCAGCCTGTCCTCGCTTCTCGTGCACGTTTCTCCAAGCCTTTTCGAATTGTGGGCCGACTTCGGATTAGAAAAGCACGTCCCTCCAAGCTGCTAGTGCATCTTCCCTGATAGATCATCAGAATGTTCTTTCCCGATCGTTCGGCTGGCGTCCAGGCCTTCTTCTTCTTCTCCTCGAACTCCTTCTGCTCGGGCGTGAGTTCGTCTTCCCTGCCGCGCGGCAACCAACGCTCGAAACATAATGTCCGATCTTGCATACCGCGGGGCAACCCACGCCAGCTCCGCGTGCAAACGTCATTGTAAGGCACCGTGATTGGCACTTCTTTGCTTCCCACAAGTGGCCCCTGAGGACGAAGTGCCATGAGAAGAGACACACTGGCCCCCGAAAAGATTCCAAGAAGGTCCAAGAGGCAGCTCAAGAGACCTTCAAGGGCAGCCCAAGAGGCCTTCAACCAGCGTCCGAAAGGGCCCCCCACGACGGCGCCCAAGAGGCTCCCAAGACAAACGACGAAGCCCTCGACATGCATCCAAAACGGTCCGATTGCAAAACAAAACTGCCAATGCAGACGCAATGCACCCAAAACGGCCCCCAATATGCATCCAAAAGGCTCCCACGACAGGTCAAGAGGCCTCCACGGCCTCCCAATCTTCCCTCAAGGTAGCCGACGCCGCTTCAAACAGGCGCCCAAACGGATATCATAATCTCCCTGGGAGGCCCATCAAGCCCCAGAGATGTTCCCAAGACGGTCTGAAGGGCCTCCAAGACACTCCAACTACTGCTTAGGAACCCATAATGCGTCAGGGAAAACCCGAGGGGCCACCAATTAGCTCCCAGTAAACAACTCAGACGCTGAACAGACGCGCCTAAAAGGAGCCCACATCTTCGAAACGCTACCAAACAAACTCACAAGAATCGCTAAGACGGCCGAGAATAATCCTAAGAAGCACACAGGAGGGAATCCCATCGGTCCCCAAGCCCCTGTGAGCAGCCCGCATCTCCGAAACGCCCCCTAGACTACGCAAGATACCCCTACAAAGACCGCCGTGGAGGACATCGCGAGGCTGGTGAACCCCCCCGAACAATTGTGCACCGCCTCATTTCGTTGTTGCGTGGCTCTTCCGCCCGCTCCTTCAAATCATCCGCCGCCCGCTCTTCTTTCACATACACTATTGCAGCGACCCAGGTAATCTCATACGTCGCACCCCGCAGTTGCGGATAATTGTGAGGGGCGGCGGAGACGACGGCAGCCTGCGAGGCTCAGGAGAAGCCCGCCGCAGACGCATAAATTTTTCAAGCTTTACAACGAGCACGCCGCACGCGCCGATTTTTTAGTTGAAGCCATGTGGGTGGGTCGCGGATTGGGTCGCAGGTGGGTTGCGGGTGGTTGGCGGGCGGGTCGCGGGCGGGTCGCGGGCTGGGTCGCGGGTGGGTCGCGGGTGGGTCGCGGGTGTGTAGTGGTGGGTCGCGGGTGTGTCGCGGGCGGGTCGCGGGATGGATCGCGGCTGGGTCGCGGGTGGGTCACGGCGTGGGTCGCAGGTGGGTCGCGGGCGGGTCGCGGGGTGGGTCGCGGGGTGGATCGCGGGTGGGTGGCGGGCGGGTCGTGGGGTGGGTCGCGGGCAGGTCGCAGGGCGGGTCGCAGGGCGGGTCGCAAGGTGGGTCGCGGGGTGGATCGCAGGTGGGTCGCGGACCGGGTCGCGGGGGGGACGACTCCAAACAGTAAAAACAAACACCAACAACAACACACAACAAGACTCCGCATCGCGGAATCCCACTTCAGCCACGCACCCAGGGACAGCGAATGACCGTTCGGCCCCCTTATCCTGATAATACCGCACCATGCAAAAAGGGCGATACCATGCCAGGCGGAACCACAACATTCGGCCGACTGAGGAAGACCTCTCACCAACAGAAAAGGCCAACACGGGGAAAACCCGAGCAGACCAGACCTGCGGAGAGTACGACACATATGTGTCCGCAGCCCTACAGCGGACTGCGGACACAGCGGTGGAATAGAACTCACGTTTGGGAAGAAGAATGAACGGTGAAATCCTGGCTGACAAGACCCGCGTGACCTGCCCATCTTCACATCTTGGCAACATATTCATGCACCCACTCCTTCACCCTGGCTTTGCGCGATAACCGTCGCGCTTGCCAGGTCGCTCTATGGTCCCACTCGACCTGATCTTCCCCATCGGCTCGTCCGCGATTCGCACACAATTCTTCAAAACTGCACCCACCATGAAGCTAGTGAGCATCCCACCTGAAATCTCGCATTCGGAAGGAAGGGGCGCAGCAAGGCGATGGCGCAAACGAGGAAACGGGGGCCACGATACCCGATGCGGATGGCACTTCCGATGGCGGGGGAGCGGGGTCGATAACACGCGCGAGAGAACGAGCACGGGTGCACGGAAGAGAAGAAGGAATCACCGAGAGTATTATTCACGCTTCTGCAGAGCGCCAACTCCGCGTGCCCAGGCGTCGGCAACCAGATGGGCCCAAGCCGCGCACGAAAGGAGAGCAGCAGGATCACGTCGGCACGCACGACACCATCCTCCTCCTCCTCCTCCTCCTCCTCCTCCTCCTCCTCCTCCCCCTCCTCCTCCTCCTCCTCCTCCTCATGCCCGACCACACTGGACTCGACCGCAGGCGCCTGGGCGACACCAGACCACACCAGGCAGAACCACTGCACGTGAGGCACCGCGAACAGGAGAGAGAGCGAGAGAGAGAAAGAGAGAGAGAAAGAGAGAGAGAGAGAGAGCCAGGCTCTGGCCACTCGATGGGGGCGGTTCGGGTCGCGCGGAGCGTCCAGAATGTACGGCGGGCCCCCAGCGGGCGAGCCTGCGAGCACCAGGTGGCCTCATGACCGTGCACGCGGTCCACCGGGCTGGGCAAAGAGAAGTCGAGAAAAGAAGCCAGAGAAGCCAGGCAGGCCAATGGAAGGAGGGAGTAACGGGATCGCGAGAGCTCACCAGCACGACTCCGGAGGACCCCAGGCGCTCCCCAAAGCTCCCCCGCCGCTCGCGGTGCCGTGAGATGGCCTCCAGGCGGTCCCAGGAGGGCCTCAGGAGGGCCGAGAGTGGTTCCAGGAGAAACCCAAGATGGGCTTCAGAGTGACCAAGATAGCCTCCAGATGACGCAAGACGGCCCAACATGGCCTCCCAAACGGCCCGGAATTACCCCAAAGACGGCCCCTAAAACGGAAAGAGGCCGTCCAGGAGGACCTCGACAAGGACGAGTAAATCAGTGATTGCTCTTCGAGTGTTTGAAGGTCTCCGCGTTCTGGCCTTGTTGGGTGTCTGACTTTGCAAGACGGCCCAAGAGTGCCCCAGGAGGGCCCTTAGAGCGCCAAAAAAGCCCCAAGAGGGCCCCAAGACGGGCCAAGAAAACCCCAAGATGGCCCAAGAGACTCACCAGACGGCACCTACAGAGCCTCAATAGTCCCTGAGAGATCCCCAACACGGCCCTACAACGGCCCAAGAGGGCCCCAAGACGGCCCAGGCAGGTCCCCCATACGACCCTCGAAGGCGTCAAACGGGCTGAAAGCCCCCTAGGACGGCGCAAGGAGGTTCCCGCGGACCCTGCCGCTGTGGCCTTCGGTGGAGCTCCCTATGGGGCCACGATCCTCGTGAGTGGTGTGCCAAAATGGGCGGGGGGACGCATGCGGACCCTGCTGCTGGGGCCTTCGGTGGAGCTCCCTATGGGGCCACGATCCTCGTGAGGGGTGTGCCGAAATGGGCGGGGGGACGCATGCGGACCCTGCCGCTGGGGCTCCAAGAGGCACCTGGGAGCAAGACGCCTCAAAGATGGCCCCGCGAGGCTCTCATCGACGGCCCAAGCGGACCAGAAGACGGCGCTGATCGGCCCAAGATGGCCCCAGGACGGCGGCCCAAGATGGCCTCCAGACGGCCCAAAAGCTCCCTGATGTGGCCCACGAGCTCAGTCGTCCTCCTCATCCTGATCATTCGTCTTCTCCTGCTTTCTGCTTGCGATATTCGCGTGCTTGTTTCCCCGTAGGGGCCCACTGTGGCTTCCAGTCTGCGGGCTCACCCACGTAATGCACGCCGACGCAAGAGTCGCAGAAAGTAAACTTGTGTGAACCATGGAACATCGGGAGTAATTCAGGAACCCAATGCGGACTCGTCAGAGGAAACAGTTACACGCCCGCATGTGCGTCACCTAGCACAGTGAGTGCCAAGCGAAGAGAACTCTGCCGTCAAGGCAGTTGTCTGCGCGCTGAGCACAGGACCTGCGGGCCCGTCGTGAGCTGCTCCAGCAGCCAATCTCACCAGCGCTCGCTTGGTCATCGTGCCCACGAGCGAGATGGTGAAATGCAAGAAAGGCGCCCACGCACCGTACCATGTTTGCACTCCCTTCAGGCCCCGCTCCCCACCCTATCGCGGCATGGTGCACAATTGCTCGCGTCTGAGTGACGAAACACTTAGCGCCGTACCATCTGTGGGTCGAGGATCGACGACGCCTCGAGAAAAGCCGACGCGGTAGACAGGCCTCATTATCATAAGGTTCATTCGTTTAGTGCTCATGATTGTTTTTCTTCGTTTTCTCTGCGCACGTGCCGCACACTGCGTGCACATCTACCTGTGCGCCTCTGTGCGGGGCAGCGCTGAAGCCGCCGCCTCCACGTACATGCCCGCACATGCTATGCGTCGCCACGATCCATACCAACGAGGTCGCTGGTCAGGAAAGCCCCGCCACGCCACAACGCTCTGACATCAAAAACATCCGCACATGCGGGGCACATGCCGCACACATACCTGGACAACAAACGCACATGTCGAGCCAAAATCGCCTGCACATGCCCCGGAATGGCACTGAGGTCGCACGCCCTGTGTGCGGTGCACACAAGTCGTCCGCGGATGAAGCCCAACAGGACCAGGCGGCGCGCTCACTTTTGGCAATGATGCATGTCAGCCTCGCTGGCCGGCATCCCCCCCCCACGTTGCGGGCGCGGTGGCGCACGACTCTGGGCGGCTACCTCCATCATCTGGTCATCGGTGTCGTCGATCTTTCCCGACGGCGCGACAGCACAATGATTCCCCCATCAGGGCCTGATGTGGTCACTTGTTGCCCTGGGCTTCCAAGTGGCCAAGAGTAACGTTACAATCTTCTTGCGTCATCCGTCTCGCCTGCAATTTCTACTCCCTCAACCTCCGTGACTTCGAGACCCTGCTGGTTAGCTTGGCGCGCAGGGTCGCAATGATCGGCTCGATGTTGGGGAGCGGCCCCCAGGTGCCCGTGCCCATCTTACGGAGCGCGGCCAAGAGCGACTTGCAATGCGTGGCGGACTACTGTACCCCTGAGCGTTGCTTCAGCACCTCCTGGTGGGTTACACTGGAGAGTATGCAGCGCATCCGTGGGACAGTTCCTGGGGGCCTGTGGGAAGCCTGCGGGAGGCATTCTGGAAGCACAGGCGACAATTCTACTGTGCTGCGGACATTGGTCCGCCGCGCTGCTACGTGAGAGTCTGGCGTCCATGCATTGCGACAACGCTTCAAGTCTACACCGCCACTGTGTTGTAACGCTGCAACCAGACAGCGCTACCGAAACTGCTCCTCCGCGCTGCTGCTAGAGAGTCCTGGGGCGCTGCTTCAGGGGTGTTCGTCCCGTGCGCTGCTTCCTGATAGTCCTGGCCGCTGCAACACGACAGCTTCGAATATTCACTGGTGCAGCAATTCAATGATACACTGATGCTCGAATTAGCCCCGCGCAGTAAACCTTCAAGGCCAAACAACCTTTATTTGTCCTCTTTATCTGCCCCGGTGGCTGCGCTATCCGTACCAATGGGGGCGGGCGGGGCGTCGCCATGATGCGTCAAATATTGAAAACGATCGCATGGACAGCCAAAGCAAGTGTGACCCCCCCCCCTCCGCACCAACTTGCAGGCACAGCCGCTGCTCTGGGCTTATTCTCCGGCTCTGGCTGGGAGGCCTCCTGCGCGGAGGAGGATGGGAAGGAGGGCTCAACCGACAATGCAGATAAATTGGCCGCCACCAGCCCCAACAAGCTTCATGGCCCACCACTCCCATCGATCCACAATCCCAGACCTCCGATGCCAGTGTTTGACCTCTCGACCCCTTCCCTGGGAGAAATCTCGGATCGTGTCTTGACGGTCCCGGGCTAGAAGCACGGGCCCAGAAGTCCGAACACTGCGACACGCCCCCGTGCTAATTCTTCACAAAACGCCGGAGGTCGAAAAACCCACGCCCACACACACACACACACACACACACACACACACACACACACACACACACACACACACACACACACACACACACACACACACACACACACACACACACACACACACACACACACACACACACACACACACACACACACGCCACGAACAAAGTCTCGCCCTGCTGCCACACACGCCCCACATCGCGTACACGATCCTGTTCACGCGCCCAGTGAGAAGCAGAATATGACGGCAGCCAGTTCAAGACACTGACATCCAGCGCGCACGCCTGCTCTTGCTCGGCCTCTTCCCCCCCCCCTGGCCCTCATACTGTTCCTCCACCTTCAGGGCGGCTCCTCTGACTTCTTCAGCTTATTAGCAGCCTTTTTGCCGCCCATCGCATCTCCGCGCCAGCGTCTCCTTCGGGGCGGTAGAGAAGCGGAGCGCCATGGGGCAACGGGAGGAAGAGGACCATCAAGGTGCTCGGCACTTGACGCCTCGACCCTTCGCTCCCGCGACGGGTCTAAGGAGGGGTGCCCGGCGAGGCGAGGGGGAGGGGGCGGGAAGGAAGGAAGGCATAGGCTGCGGTGAGGTGGGGGAGGCGTGGGGAGGGGCGTCGAGAACGAGGCTGGGGAGGACGGAGGTGAGCGGAGTGGTTTGGGGAGTCAAAGAGAGGGGGGGAGGCGCCCCCGGCGGCGCGCGGCGCGCGAGATCAGCCCACCTGTGTGCGGCAGGCCCCGCCCCGGACGGCCCCGCTTCTCCCTTGCGATTTCATCCCACTTTCCCGTCCGCCTCTACCCCGCGTCCCCCATCCTGGGCCCCCTGCTTCACCCATTCGTTCAATCCTCCCCCTCATCTCTATGTTCGCTTCCCCTGCGTCTCCCCCTCCCCATCCTGCTATGTCCTGGATGGACCGTCGAAAACAAGTAAAATGCTGTCCAACAAAACTTATCGCGGCGACAGAACAAATGGTCGAGATCGCCGGGGTGACACGGCGAACGCCATTTCAAAACCTGCACTGTAGATACCAACGTCACGGACAACAAACTTGGGCAATCAACAAGCAGTACACCATGTGCAGCGGTGGTGTGTCGGGCCCTTGAAGTTTTTTGGTTCAGGCGGCTCGCCCCTTGCGAGGCACGAATCATGCTACTCCCCCTCGCCGACGTATCGAGCATGGCAAGAGCCCACGTGCTGCTCCAAAAGAAGCTGCCTGGTCTTTCCACGGGGAAGGCACCACCGACGTCCTGAATCCTGGAAGAAAGCAGTTCGTCGATGTCTCCCTCCCTAGCTACCGCCCACGGCCCCGCTCCCCAAACCCTCCACCACCACCCCCAGACTCTACCACTGGATAATCCGGCGAGGGGGCATATCCGAAAGCGAAGAGACCGAACACCCATCCAAATCATGCGCTTCTGTTTTGCCGGCAGTTGCAGTGGGGGTCACATCGAGAAACAACTTGACGTGGCCGACCCTGCAGACCATAGGTCCAAGCATGATGACGTCACAATATACCTTCCGCCGCCTTCCGCAGGCTTCCACTGGCGGGCCTGCCGCGTCCGCCGAAGGCGAGATGCGAAGGCGAGGCCCTTTCTGGAACACCCTCATTGATCACATGGGTAAAGCGTGCAACTCAACTCGGTTACAGGAAGGAGGCAGTTGGATGCCGCAGCGGGCAGTGAGTTCGCTGACCAACGGTGAACTAAACCATTACATCGAGTCGCGAGTCCATGCCAGAGCTTTTGTAATTCAGACTGGAAGTCCGAACATGCCGGGCACCGCGCTGCACTCTAGCATTAGGAACAACATCTGAAACATCGGAACAGAGGTCTGGAATTCATGTTCGCTCTGTCGACAGGCTTGAAGGAAAACGGGTCGAGATGTGCACACTGACGCCAATCTTCATCTGTGCCAGCGCTGTACCTGTAATATTTCGTTTAGATCAGAAGCAGCGTGAATCACGCGTGCGAGCCACAGCTCTTCTGCTCAGAGTACTGCGCAGACCCAGCCGTGGCGACCGATACCGTATAGACTGGAGTGCTAGCCTTCCGCATCCGAGCTGCAATCCTCACAGCATGAAGTATTGCGAGCTACGTGTCCGCACACTGTGCGTCAGAAGCGCCTTTTCCGCAGCACTCGCCTGGCAGGCTTCCGCTGCGGCCACTGACGAAGCACACACACACAAAAACACAAAATGCACAAACGGAACTGCTGGAGCTCCGCGCGGACTCCTTGGATCCGTGCGGAACGCCCTCCCTGGCGCGCGGAGCGCAGGGGCGGCGCTGGAGGCGCCGCCACGGGGGCGCCCGGCGCAGATCCGAGAAATCCGCGCGGACCGTCGAGAGCTCGTGCTCGTGTGCGGCTCTTGCCAGCGAGGCCGGCGAGGGCCAGCGCCACCCGGCGCGGGTCCTCGCACGGCGCAGCTGCCCCCCTTGCGCCCCTCGCCCCGCACGCCGAGCACGGCTGCGGCAGGTGCCGGCTGCCGCGGGCGCACCGCGGAGACTCGAGCCAGCCCCTGTACGGCGAGCGGTGGAGCGATGCAGCGGCGAGGTCGGGAAGCGCCGCAGGAGAGGTTGCGTCGGAAGCGCGGGGGAGCGTGCAGTGAAACCGCGTCCGAAAGATGCACGATAAGGATGCCAGGGCCTTCGAAGGCCCTGTTGACGTTTGCCGAGCGGGGTGCGGCCAGCGAAAGTGGCCAAGGATGAACCGAGGTGGAAGGATGCAAAGGCAACCTTGGAAAATCGCTCATCCGTACTAGCAAGGTTGCCGAAAATTTTCAGCACGGGTGCTCAAGGTGCCACACCAAATCCAACCAAGTTGTCAACTCTTTGGGGGCGGCTTTTGCTTCCGCCGCATTGCTCTGGCCTTCTGCCACGTCCCGCTTGCGGAACTGCTTCCGTTTTTGCTCTCGCTACCTTCCGCTAGCCTTGCTCCCGAAGCTATCGTTTGACAGTCCGGTCCCTCGAAGGTCGTGCCCTTATTCGAATCCTCCATGTAATGTGGCGGGGGTGGACAGAGCAGCGAGAGATCGCAGTGGTGCTTCAACAACCCCGGACCCCACAGCCGTGGTGGCCACCCTTCCTCCCTGTCCAGCCACGAGGTCGGTCGGGGGTAAATGTTCATGACAGGGTGGGATGAGCCCTGAGATCCGACGTAGCGAACAAATCGCAACATCCTGAACAATCGCGACCAGAGCCCCGGACACACATGTTGCTGCGCAACCTCCAGAGAGCTAGATCGACCTGTGAGGGACCTGGGGGCCCGAAACCAGGCGAGAATGCCCGCTGTAAACTGCAACGCCCGGAACTGAGGGAATGCCTGTCGGGAGGGGTCGGGAAGAGAGAGGGGCGCCGAGCGCCGCGGTCCGGGGAGGGGCAGGGAGGCTGGGCGGCCAGCCGGCCGGCATGCGGCTCGGGCGCGGCCTCAAGAGGCTCTCGCAAGAAGCCCAGCCCTGAGACCCGCAGGCGCGAGGTGCAAGCGGGGGGAGCCCAGTGCACCCTGAACGCAACAGTTCCTTCAACGGCCACGGAAAGCCACCGCGCAGCGCGCAGAGCGAAAAAAACCAGAAGCCTCCAAGATGGGGTCGGAGTAGTTAGATGGGGTCGGAGGATCGCGCCGCATCGCCGATACATCGGCGATGCATCGGCGATGTGCATGCGATGCACAGGCGATGCATCGGCGCCGCCAGCGATGCATCGGCGACGTCGACGTGAACCAAATCGGGCTGCGCATCGAGCCGCATCGGCGATGCATCGGCGATGCGGCGCGATCCTCCGACCCCATCTACTCCGACCCCATATGGGAGGCATCGAGCAGGGATCGACCTGAACAGCGTTTTTCGTTTTTCGTTTATCGCTTTCCTTTGTTTTGTCTTCGATCCGCCCTAGATGCAAAACGACATCGAACGCAAACGGCCCCTTGTTGGCCTCCGCCACCTTCAGCTGCTTGCTGAGAGGGTTGGCGGCCCGCCGCGCAGGCTGCGCGTTAGCGAGGTCGGCCAACAGCTTCGTGATGCACGCCTCGTAGCCGCCGGCCCAAAGAAGCCCCAAGAAGCCTCCAAGAGGCCCTCAAGAGGCCCCCAACATGCCCTCCAAGCGACCCTCAGGCAGCCCCGAAGAGGCCTCAAACTGCCTCCAACAGGCCCCCGAGAGGCCTCCCACGATATCCCAACGAGCACCCAAGAAACCACTACACACAACCCAGACACGATGGCAGGACATACCGTAGGCAGTTGGATAGTGCACAACATATATGGCTAGAGACGCGCTGTTTGTCAACCAAGCTGGCTTTTTTAAAATATGTATGTATGTATGTATGTATGTATGTATGTATGTATGTATGTATGTATGTATGTATGTATGTATGTATGTATGTATGTATGTATGTAAATATGTGTATATATAGGTATGTGTATAAATATGTATCTGTATATATCTATATATACATGTACGTAAATGTACACATGTATGTGTGCTGCCACGCTGTCTGTTTTCAACGCGCCCACGTGGACGACGCAAACACCACGGCAAGCCGAAGGCAAAACCTGCGTCCCGCGCCCCAAGCAAACGAGGCCGGCAGCACGGCAAACCACACGGTAAACCCACCGCGTCCGAGGCGGAGATTGCCCTGGCGCCCTCCCCCAAACGCAGGATCGCGCATCGGAACAAACGGTGCGGCGATACACTCAAACATATATTTACATATACATATAGATATAGATATATGTATATATATATATGGTCTTCCGAGGCCTCTCTTTTTCAGGGGCCAGACCCAAACGGTTTGATATGTCTGCTTGCTGGTGCCCAGCGCACAGGGTAAAAAGAGGCAGTGACTGGCGCCTGCACAACGGCAGGCAACAGAAACACGAAACACAACACCGCAAAATCGGAAAATCCGAAACTGACCTCTGGCGCATCGTTTCACCGATGGGCCACTTTGGACATCATGCTTCGCATCACATGGTTACGATGAACAGTCAGAAAGGTGCGGGAGATGTGAGTGCACATCTGCTGCGGATATGGCTCAGAAATGGCAATGAGAAGTACGCCAGTGCTGTCCTCCCCGGCCAACTCCGCACGCGGACGCTTGGTAGAAGAACAATTGCCTCTGCCAACGCACTTGCACTGGTTCAAACACGACAGATCAGCATTCGCAAAGACGATAGCAATACGTTTGCGCCAAGGAGTACCGAAGGCACACAAATCTACAATTAGGCGCTGAAGCCCGAGACGCCTCCCGACACGGATGGCCACAGGTTGCCTGCAAAGACAAAAGGATCCAGGGTTCTCGAGGCCAACGGGGGGCCCAAGGGACAGCGTCAGCTCAAAAAGACTAAAGTTGAACCTGCACAGACGATTTCTTTGCAGGACTTTCAGGGCATCCGCTGGGCTCAAGTTAGAGAGGCCCTCAGGAAACGAGCTATCTCTCAGAGGCGGACGTTCATTGGGTAGGTTGCGCGCAAGCGACATCGATTGGCAAGGCGGTCCGATCCATAGCGCACGCACTAAGCCTGAGCGAAGCCATCCACGATGCCACTGCTGAAGTCTCTGCTGGGGCAAGTCCGCCCGTCTGTCATGCTTGATGTCGATCTCAAAGGCAGCGAGTGATCCTCGGTTCACGCGCCTCCAGCTGAAGGGCAATCGGCCAGGCCCCGAGAAAACCTCGAAGAAGACAAGCTGCTGGCACCGCTCCACACGTTGGGCCAGATGAGCGAGCGGCGCCTGCCAATACTGCCGGCCAGGCTGGCGGCGAGGCGCTGCCTTGAGAGGGGCAGCCGTCGCATCCGTTTTACGATGCGGCCGCCCTTGGTGTAGCGCCTTCTGAACACCACCGCCCACCGGTTGTAGCTCAACGGCACCAGGCGGCCTCGCGGTGCTTCGCAGGCCCGAAGCGCCTGCAGTAGCGGCGGCAGCCGAGCGCGCAGCGGGCTGTCCACCAGGTGGCCCTCGTCGTAGACCCCCGCCTTCGAGGGCAGGAGGCACTCCATCGGACGCAGCGCCACCGACCAGTGTGAGAGGAAAGGCTGCCCGGACGGCGCGCCCACCGCAGGCGGGATCACCTGGTCGCGCAAGGGCCCGAGCCGCCCCGCGGGCCGCAGGTACCGCGCGAGGCGCACCGCCGTCGCCGCGGCCGCCACCAGCTCGCCTGAGTTCAGCATCCAGTCGAACATCAGGCAGGCGATCGGCCAAGGGAGCGGGGGCCTCGAGCGAGGCGGGACCAGCCGCGCCCAGCCCCTGGCAGCCCGCGCCGCGCGCGGCAGGGCCAGCTGCAGTCGCCCCAGCGTCGTCCTGAAGCGCGCGATGACGCCATGTACTTGGTTGCCTCCTCGCTCGGATGGCCCTCCAGGAACAGCTCGTTGAAGAAGGTCGCCAGCGCCGCGTCGGACTTGCCCGCTGTCGCCAGCGGAAGCCGCGCCGCGGTTGCCCGCGCCTCGAACCTCGCCACTCGGACTTGGTAGTCCCGGCGCGCGGCGTCGCCCGCCGCCTCCGTCTCCAGGGGGTTGGGGGCCCCGCGCGCTGCCGACGTCGAGGTGGCGGGAAAGGCCTTTTCAGCACTAGTGTCGGGGCCCGCCCTAGGACAAGTTATCACTGACAGAGATGCACTTTTTGCTGCCGCTCAGGTGGTACCAAACAACACTATTCTTGCACGTGTGTCTAGCCTGGCCCCTGCATCTGACGCGGGGGCCTCCAAATCTTCACTCCCCTGACACTGAAACTCGAATGCTTCAAATGGACTGGGCTGCTGGGCAGGCTGGCTCAAGAACGCGAGGGAGGGACGAGGAGACGGGAGCAGGGAAACAGAAAAAGGGTCAGGCTGCGCTCGGCGACACGGGAGGGGCGTGCTTGAGCATACGAGGCGACGGTGCTCTCTATGTCCCCTCCCCATGCCCCAACGTGCTCACCGAAAACAACCATTCACGAGCTCATTAAACCATTTCAGCACTCTTGTCGGGGCCCACCCTAGGACAAGTTATCACTGACAGAGATGCACTTTTTGCTGCCGCTCTGGTGCTACCAAACAACACTATTCTTGCACGTGTGTCTAGCCTGGCAACTGCATCTGATGCGGGGGCCTCCAAATCTCCACTCTCCTGAAACTGAAACTCGAATGCTTCAAATGAACTGGGCTGCTGGGCTGGCTGGCTCACGAACGCTCACCACCACCCGCATCCGCGAGCGGCACCTCACCAGCCGAAACCAGGCCAGTGCCATTCATCGTGTACTCGTCGCCCGTATTCGCTGTTCGGTCTGGCTCCAGGAGGCGCGGCTGCTCGCGCCTGCTGAAGGGGAAAAGAAACTGAATGACACGCGCCACTGCGCGGCGCACACGACGGCAGAGCCTGCGAGTGGAGCCTCCTGGGAGGGCGGGAGCGCCACGGAGCATCTCGGGGCCGAGATCCAGCTCAGGCGCGGGAAAGGACGAATCCGCCAAAACCTTGAGCTGTTCGGCCATGGCCGGCGCCTCGGCCGTCTCATCCATGCCGAGCAGCCCCCACGCTGGGTTCGCCCACTGCGGACGAAAGCGGATCGCGACCACCCTCCAGGCAATCCCGACGTGGCCGCTGGGAAGCCAGCGGACCCAAAAACTCACGGACTGGTACATCCTAGGAGAAAAGAAAGCACTGTGCGTGAATTCGCCTCTCGGCCTAGTGGCCGAGGAGAAGAGCAAAAGGCGCTCCAGTTCATCAGGAAACTCCGGCTCGAGCTGCAGTACCTGCTGGACCTCCGGCTCCTGGAGGAAGGCGGGCCAGTCGTCTTCATCCTCGACGAGGAACCTGCCGGCGCTGCCCTGCGCCCGGACGTCCAGCAGGTCGACGCCACGCCAAGCCGCCTCGACCAGGCCGATCGACCCATCCGTCACTGCCGACACGAGCTTCGCTGCGCTCGTGCTCACATTTGCTCCTGCAGTCACGATCCTTCCCGCCGCGGACCTCACCTCTTCCGCCACGTCGGTCATGGCGATGAGGCCCCTGGCGGCGTTGGGGAAGAGGCTGGCGGGAAGGATACTCAGCAGCATGGCGGCCAGCACGAGCTTGCCCAGAAGAGTTCCCGACGGCACGCACTTCATCAGCCACTGTAGCTGGCCGCCCTTGCCCGCCTTAAGCGATTTGGCAAGAGGACAACCCGCTGCCGCCTGCATCTTCGCGCTGACCCTGGGCGCGGCTGGCGGCGACGGCGGCGGCGCGGCAGCTCCCCACGGCGGCGCTGGGGGGAAGTAGGCCCCACCCATGCCCAGGCTTCCTGGGGTCCGAGGAGGTGGCGTGTCCGCGCGGTTCTGCATCGGCGTGGCAGGCGCCCGCGCCGAGCTGGCTCCCGGGCTGCCCACCTCCAGCCACGAGCCCGCCTCCGAGCCCGACTCCACGCCCTCGCCCTTGGCCTGCGCGGCTGCGCCCTTGCGGAGCGCGGCCTTGATGCTGGGCGCCCTGGACCCAGCCATCGAAAGCCTAACGGAACGTAGGGTACCAGTAGCGGGCATCCCAGTCCAGGGCTGGCTGCAAACCTGCTGCGCGTAGAGCTGTACCGACCTGTGACGCTTGAACCACATCGATATAGATCCGCAGCGAGGAGTCGACCCTCCACCTTCTCATTTCCCTGATGGTCTCGCGAGGGATCCCGGGGGCGGTCGACTCCGAAGCAAACCCGGCGCGAGGGCTGTGCCGCCCCCACCCGACGTCAAGGTTGAACGAGGCCTGCACGGTCTTTATGAGGGTACGGTACTGGGCCAGGGAGTACGGGAAAAGCCGCTGGCCCTTGGGAGTACGACGACGAAGAATCCTGAGGCCCTCTGCGAGGCCCGGCTCCAGCTCCTCCAGGAAAGACACAGACTGCGGGCGCTTGGCTTTCGTCATGGCCCGGATTCCCAGATCGATGACGACAGGCCCAGAGCCTCCAGGATAACCCCAGTCCTCCGAAAGGGTGACGTCGTCAGCCTCTACTCCCAGAATTTCACTTGGTCTCATCCCGAACTTGCCCTGGATCACGATGCCGAATCCCAGACGCGGCACGCCCCTGGCACAAAAATGAATACACATCCAGGCACACACGTCACTGATCATGGGGGCGGTGTGACGAGGTTGGTGAGCATAGTCCCAGCCCTTGAGGGCCGCCCTAACCCGACACAGCCTCCCCTTCATGCGCGGAAAGCGGAACTCCACCGCCGCGAGGAGCAGGGTGAACTTGGACTTAGTCTGGACCCCCATCCCCACAGCCTCGGAGCGCCCAAACCTCTTGAAGTCCATGATAGCGTCATCCCACTGATCAGGGGTGAACGGCTCCACCCCCTCTGCCAGACCACTTGACAAAAGGAACCACTGCCTCCTTAAACTTGAGGACGGTAGAAGCAGAGACCCTCCCCTCTTCACGCACATCGATCACTTCTGGATCGTCCTGGCCTGCTGGACGACCTGGACCTGATCCTGCGGGATGCCCTCTAACAAATCCCTCCATGTCCTACTGCGCGAAACCCAATCAGCAGGCGTCCGCCACGTCTCGACCCAGGGCAGCAGCAGGCGTAGTTCTGCGGCGGCGCACAGGGCGCATCGGCGGCGGAGGAGGAAGTTGAGCGGGCCCGCAGCGGACCTCCCCTTGGCAATGGCGTACGAGCAAGGCATGTTGTCATCGAAAGATATCACCTTACTCCTATAGAAACTTAGAACTTGCACCAACCTCTCCAGCGCCAAAACGACGGCCCTCATCTCCCCCACAGCGATGTGCCCCTCCCACCTCCACCGACCGGCAGCGACTGGGATCCAGGAGCGAGCCGTATCCCAAATCTCCTTCGGGACCGAACTGACAGGGAGGTTGGGTGCAGCGACCGGGGGGCCTTCTCGAGGACGCGCTTCTCCTGGCCCAGGCGCGCGAGAGCGTATCCAGGTCTAGTCCCGGCCCCCCAGAGCAGGCGGGCCTCGTTGTCCGACATCACGGTGGCGACAATACCGTAGCCTCCGCAGTCTAGACCGCTCGACCCCTCAGCATCCGTAGCCGGAACCACTTCCGAGATGGGCGCCCCCAGGTCCACGTAGAGCCCCATGAGCCCACACCTCATAACCCTCCATTCTCTCAGAGCACTGGGCCACCATCTGCGGAGCCCTCGACGCCCAGGGAGCCCCCTCGTTCTGCTTAGCAATCTGGAAGATATGTTGCGGCGCTGCAAGCAAGTGACGCGCCAGCAGCGCCGCCCAAACCCAGACTCCCAGTAGCGAAGATACGGCATCCAGACACCCAGGTGCGACGTTCTAGGTAGAGCGTGGCCTCGTACAGGGCCGCGGCCTTCAGGGCAGGTAACCTAAGTCGAGCAGGATGTTGCTGGATCTCATAACCTACAACCTTGTCCATCTCGTCTGATTCACGGCGATCGGTAACCTTAAAACCCAGCTCCACTAGGTCGTCGGCAGTTCGATGCATGAAAACGTTCGCGGCCCCCCTGGAGCCTATGTGGTCCTGGCCATCCGTCATCACCAGGCCATCGTCGATATGGAGGTAAAAGCCTACATCACCTTTGTCCAAGAAAGCGTTTTTCATCTTGACGCTAGTCTCGTTGAATATGTGGAGCCCCCGCTCGTGCCGGGAACTGCTCGGCCTAGACCATTGCGAAAGCCTAGCAGCACGACGCGGGGGAGGAGCAACTGCGAGCGGATCTGACCTCTCTCGGCGCTTCCTGACGAAGCTCCGCATGAGGCAAGAAGCCAGACAGCGGCTGAAGGCCGTCGGGTACGTAGCCAAACGTGTGGTCGCGAAGTCTGGCCGGCCCCCCTACCCCGCAATGCGCCCGATGCTCCTGTGGTGTTGGCGTCTTCCATCACATCGGCACTCCCCCTCCCAATGCCCATCGGCCGCGCCCGACAGCGTGGTCGCCTTGCGAGCCAGGCCGCCGTGCACGCACTGATCAAGACTCACGCGCGCGGCCGACGTGCGCTCCTTCATGGCGCACATCACCTCCGTGCTGTAAACTGAAGGGTAGGGATCATCGCCAGGGTCCTCGGGATGCTCGTGGATGTGCACCCCTCCCTGGGCAGAAACTCCTTCGCGAAGAAACAGAAAGTTCAGAATCAAGAGATTGGACTCCCGGACTCGCCCCTTCTCAGCTTCCGTGAGCTCAGAGTCGGGGCGGCCCCAGACGTACTTGCCTCGAAATCGCAGCGGCCGCGGACCCCCAAGCAACTTGACGAAGCGGGCCCGAGACCACGTTGAGCACGGAGGCCCTCCAACAATTCCATCAATATAACCCTGGGCCACCACGACCCACAACTTCTGGGAGGTCTCAGGAATGGCGAGGTCCCAGTCGGGGTCCAGCTCGAGGTCACACGAGAGCAACAAGATCTCGAGGCCGTGCGTGGCCCCCAAGACGCGAAGCCACTCCTCCAGATCCCCCGGCCGTCTCGGGCCCGCAAACACGTGCATGGCGACAGCGACATCCTTCCCCGACGCCTTAACCTCTACGACCTTCTGAAACCAGCCGTCCACGGTGAACCCCTTACCTACGTCCTCGGACTTCTTAACTTTGCTCTCCTGGGCCCAATCCTCGTCGTTCTGACCCAAAAACTGGCACTCCTCATTGACGTCGAAATCCTCCTCCGAGTAGCCCTGCCACAGGCCGCAGCTGCGAACGAGCGTGCGGCCCACACAGGTCATATCAAGATTCGTCAGGATGTGGACGCTGTGCGAGCCCCCCATGACTAGGCGTTTCCACATAAGATAGACCCAGTCTCCAGGCCTGGCCCGCTCCCGGACGTCCCAAGGAAGAACAGCCCAGATCAGGCCGGCCCGGATAGGGGGAACAGCTTGCCACGCCCACATCCACTCAGGCACCTCCACCGAACTGAAAGCATTGCTCTCGTCGAAGGCCGACACGCTGACAAAGTCGCTCGGCACGTGCACACTGGCAAGGGCTGCCCCGCCGTGGAGCCCGTGCTCCTCGCGAGGACGTACATCTTGAAACATATAGTTCGAGGCCACCATCATGATAATCTTACGTTGTTTAGCGGAATCTTTCTTGGGCACCACTGAGAATCCTGCAATTGCTCGAACGTCCTCACGAAAACCAAACCTCCAGAGATCGGGGGCGATGTCCTGCCTCAGGAAATATCTAGCGCACTCCTCCTCAGACCCTCCAGCGAAACCGCACTGCTGCTCAAGCTCCCGAAAAATTGCCTGCGAACGGGCCTCTGGGGCCGCCGCTACTTGGGCCTCCTCGGAGTAGAAGGCCGCTTCCTCTGGACTCAGGGCGGACAGCATGGGCGCTGCTCGGGGGCCCAGGGGCTCATCTACAGCGTCGGCTCGCAGAGTCTCATGCGCAGTCTTGCGCCTCTGGGCTCCTGTGTATGATAGAGCTGCCGATTTCACCAACTTCTCGATGGCCTGGGCGCCTGTCAGGCCGCAGCCCCGGCGCGCCTCTCGCAGACGCGCTGCCCCACGTAGGGCCAGTCGCTGAATTCGTTGGTGGTGGGGGAGCATCTCCTTCAAAAGATCTCGATCACAGCTCCCCCGTGTGAGCTCTCGGCAGTCTCCCCGACACATGACATTCAGAGCAGTCAGATACTTGTTGGCCAAAGACATCAGGGCGAACTTCTGGTGAAAACGCTGGCGGAGGCGATTGGACGTACTACTGGATCACTAAAGGGATCGGGTACAATCTGGCGCCAGGCGCCGCGTGCAGCAACTCGCGCAGCCCGCGGGTCTCATCCAGCACCTGCTTCTGGACCCATCGGCCGCGCTCACTGCCTCGGCTGGTAGCTGCTGTCCCAGCCGAGGCGGCCCTCTGCCACTCAGCCTTCTTAGCCCCCCCTGGCGGGGGGCCCTTCTTGGTCTGATCCTTCTCGCCCTTGTCGCCCTTGCCGCCCCGTCGCCTCAGGTCGGCGGCCGCCCTCTCGTTCTTCTAGTGCTCCGCTTTGCTGTGGGCGGCGGCCGACTGAACCAGCCAGCTCGGTGCGACGTCGGTCTGGCTGCCAGGGGGGGGTACCCCCAGCATGTGGAGCGCCCCCGCGCGGTCACCGGACCTGCTCTCATACATGTACGCCGCCAGGCGGCGGAGGGAGATCTCCATGAGGTCGTTGGCACTCAGGAACCTCATGAGGTCCTCCTCAGTCTTGCAGTCCCGCACGGCAAAGTCCACGGTAGACGCCGACGCCCAAGGATCTGTCCGCGCAGGCGAAGGGCGACTCCCGCCGTGTCGAGCTGACAACCAATCTCGTGTAGAGGTACGTCCTTCTGCTCTCATCGCTCGATAGATCTCCGCGCCTGCTCTCTGCATGTCTGGCGGGAGGCTGGCTCCCCATCTCGTCTCCTGGCTGCCTCCTCCCGCCGTGGCCGAGCCTCCGAGGCCCAGCGGGTCGCCCGCCGTCCCGCCGAGGGCAGGCGCTGCACTGGAGGCCACGGCCTCCAGACCTCGGGCCAGGTCGGCCACCCTCGGCACGGTGACGGTGCCTGCGCCCACGTAGCCGCACCCGCGCAAGAGGTGCACCACGGACACGTCGAGGCGGCCGCCCTGCTCGAGCCTCGCCACTGAGTCCCAGAACTTCGTGGCCCAGTAGGGGTCGGCGTGGGCGGTGGCGCTGGTGGTCGTCAGGTAGTCCTTCACGAGGGATGCGCCCGCTCTGCTGGCGGCTCCGGCCTCGGTCGGACGGCGGGCGGCCTCGCCTCCGCCCGCGGCCCCAGGCGCCCCCGCCCAGCCCGCCAAGTCGCCGAGGGCGCTGGCCCCCGCAGGCGCATAGCCGCTGGCGGCGGCGCCGCTGGCGGCGAGGGCGGGCGGATGGGCGGGGGATCCGCCGGGAATCCCGAAGGGCACGGCGGCAGCCAGCCCCTCGGTCTCGCCGTCGGGCCCTCCTTCGCCATGGTCTCCTCTTTCAGCCATGCCCGATGCCCGCATCAGTTCGCGCATCCGCTCGAGCTCCTCCTTGAATGACTGCATGTCGCTGTCGGGCAGCGCGGGGCCTGTTCGGCGTGGAAGCCACGGCCGCGCCAAGCAAGTCAGGGCGCCCAGGATCGCGATCATGCCGACTGCTGCCCCTCCGAGCGCTGTTCTCCACGAAGTGGCCCCTCGCGCTAGCATGAGGCTCAGGAAGCTCACGCAGGCGAGCGCCCCGCTCAGTCTCATGCGGACGCCCAGGGGCCAGGGCGAGGACGCCCCTGTCTCAGGGGCGGGCGTCATGGCCCGTGACGTCGGGCGCAGTAAAGTAAAACGCGATCCCGCGTGCTTGAGCATACGAGGCGACGGTGCTCTCTATGCTCCCTCCCCATGCCCCAACGTGCTCACCGAAAACTACCATTCACGAGCTCATTAAACCAGGCGGCGGGCTAAGCGACGCGTCGCCTGATCGCCCCATCCCAGGTCGGTCCGCGCCGCCCAGGCGGGCCCGCAGGGCAGCTGGGCGTCGCGCGGCTCCGCGTGCGGCGCGCCGAAGGCGAGGCTGCTGGCCGCCGCCGCAAGGCCCCCGGCGGGGCGACCGCGGGCGCTCGCGGGGCGGTCGTGGGTCGGTTGCGGGAGGCTGGGTCGGCCGAGTTAAACTCGGACGGCAGCCATCTCCAGCGCGCCGATATGCCCGACGCCAGCAGCAGTCAGGCCACCTGCTGGCAAACGGCTAGCAGCGCTGGGGCCGAATACCGCCCCTTCGATAGAGCCAAAACGGGTGCCATGGCATCGTTCAAGACGACGTGGGATCTCCTGAAGGCCTTCGTGCTTCGAGCTTGTGCTTGGGCCCCGTCGCGCCAGAGCGAGCCTCCAAGATGATCTGCGGGGCAGGGCGCCCCCAGGGCGCCGGCAGCGCGGGGTGCCAGTCGTCTCTCCGGATCTCCACGGGGACCTCCTCGAAGTCCTCGACCAGGCCTGCAGCAGGCCCGCCAGCGCCACCACCAGAGACCGCGGCCGCTCGGGTCCCAAGCCGCTGTTGCTCAGCGCCCCGCGAGAACCTCCGGCGCTCGTTGCGCCCGGCCAGGCGCTTCGCCGCCCCCGCGGAGACTTCCTTCTGAGTGACCCCGAAGCCCCAAGACGACGCGTCTATGAAAATCAAGGCGGTGTCGAACGGGAGCCCAAGGGTCCTGTTGCAGAACGCCCGGCGAAGTTCACGGCGCACGACGGGCCGAAGTCGAGTGGCGCGACCTTTGTGCATCTCCCCAAACTTGTATACGGCCCCGAGACAGGAGAGGAGGTCGCGCCGGATGAGCACCCTAGACGTGAAATGCGAGACGAGCCTGACCATCTCCTTGCCCGAACAGTAGCCCCATCCGAAGGATCTCCTGGGCCCCCAAGTATAGCTTCCAGCGGGGGGGGGGGTGGGCGAGAGGACGGGCGACGGCGGGTCGAAGTGCCACCCCGACGTCTCGCCCCCCCGCGCCAGTTTCAACCCCATGGGTGGGAAGTCCGACCGCGCGCACCCGTTCATCAACTTGGGCAGCGGCAGCGGCGACAGCAGTCTGGCACAAGGGGAAAGCGGCGAAGTTATCAACGCACTCGGCGTGAACAATGCTAGAATCCACCAAGGGAGCAGGCGAGCGATCTATCAATGCTCTGTCGGGGACAACGAGAGCCGCGCGCTGGGGCGCAGTCTCATTCGCAGACCGGCGCAGCCAAAGACTCAAACTGAAGCCCATGGGAGGGCGCCTGAAGCAAAGATATACCCGCTGAGCTGGCGAGACGGGGCGACCGTCGGCCGCGGCTGAGACGCCCGCCCCCGCCGCCCTGACATTCGGAAGCCCGAAGAACCGACGAAGCCAAGGCGGCAGCAGCATAGCGTGGAAAGCGCCAGCGGCATCGACGCCGGCAACGCACGCAGGCTGATCGCTGCCCACTCGCAACTGAGAGAAGGCGGCTCCTGCAGCCAGCCGCGCCGTCGGCGGCTCGTCGAACAACTGCGAAGGCATCCAGCCGTCGAGCATGAGTCTTAGGGCCCCCGGTTTCTTGTAGACGAGAAAACGCCCCCACGGTGCTGAGCGCCCCAGTGTGAAATTCAACGAGATCAGATGGAATAAGCCGATGCAGCATTTTCTTGTACAAACGAGGGTTCCTGAGGTTAGGGCCCGAATGCCCCCGCTTCGGAGCGCGCTCTGCAACCCGAGCGAGCCCCCGCTCACGGGGAAACAGAATTTCTTGAAGGCGGTGACCGATCCTCACGCTGTCATCCCCGCTGAGCGCAGACAGGGGCAGCGGATTGGAGCCCGCGCTCGGCAGGGAGATCAGATCGACGCGGTCGAAGGTCACCGGCGCAATCGCGGCGGACCCCTGGTCGCATGACTGCGCGACGCGGAGCTCCTCGAAGGCTCATGCGGGAGCGCGGTCGGGCGGGGGCGCTCCGACGGCGTCGACCGCCTCCTGGATCGCCGCCAACGCCTCGCGCTGGGCGGCCGTCGGGCCCACAATTACCGTGGGCCGCGGACGGCCCCATCTCGTTCAGCGCCTGGATGGCATTCTGCACCATCCCACTCCGGTGCCCAGCTCGTTGGAGCCGCCTCTTCGCAGTCCTAGAAAGGTCTGAAGCCGCAAAACTGCGATCCACATCATCAGGATACGGCAATGGAAAGAGATCTCGATGCCGCCCGCGACGAGCAGCGCAAGCCCCCAGTATAGTCTCACTGCCGGGGGGCGAACCAGCAGCGGCCCCTCGAATGTCCCCGACGGGGGCGGGGTCACCGCCTCCGGGCTTTCTCCAGTCATGGCTCCAGGAGCGCGACGCTCTGCCTTAGCTTTCCTGATCAGCTTAAGGATTCCAGCGTCGCGCCCCACTCGTTTGGCCGCGAGCGCCAGCAGCGCCGGCGCGACCATCATGCGCCCATCTTCGCGGGCGGCCCCGGTGAAGACCTCTGCCTCGTCCACGAACCCGAACCTCAAGAGGCCGCCCCCGCCGCGAGCCTCGCCCTTGCAATTGGCCGCGGCCTTGGGCTCAGCGTCGCCAGACGGAGAAGGGGCCGCGCCTCCGTCGCGGGCCTTGCGCTCCATCGCATGCATGTACTCGTGCAACTGCGCCTGCCTCCTCATGCCTTCGACTCCGGCCACGTTCGGCAAGTCGAAAGAGGCCCCGCGCCATGAGGTAGTCCACCGTCCGCATGATCGACTCATAAATCGAGATACTGAAATCATCTCGAGAAAGCCGGTAGAAGGACACGAACTGGTGGAAGTGCTCGATCGCGCCCGTGCGCTTTCGATCCAATAGGCGCAGGCACCAGAGGGTGGTCCTCGGGCCGTCCAGAGGCCAATCGGGGAACGGCTCCTCGCAAAACCTGTCGACGCTCTCGTGGAACAGGACGCGCTGCCGTGAGTTGTCGACGACCGCCACCTCCGAGCCATCCAGCGTCGCGGGGTCCCCGAGCTGCACCGTGGCGGTCGAGTCCACGTACAACCACTGCCCACCAGGTCTAAGCACAGCAGTCGGGCCGAGGGGAGCAGCGGCCATCACACCTCCGAGCAGCGGAGCGGCCCCAGGCGCTGCCCTTGGCGCGCTGGGCGCGAGCGCGGCAGGTGCCGCCAGCGCTGCGGGAGCGGCTAGGGCAGCCGCCCCAGGCACCGCCGCAGGCGCGGCCAGCGGCGGCGGAACCGCTCCAGCCCCAGGACCAGCAGCAGCAGCAACTCCGAACGAGAAGTACTCGAAGGGTCCCGCGGGCGGCACCACCATGGGACGTCCCGCTGCCTGCTCACAGGCCAGGTCGGTGTCCCGAGCGTAGGCATCTTCTAGCTCCGTCCTGATCGCGCCCTCCACGGATGCCGTGAGCGACCGGCGGTAGCGGTAGCGGCTTCCCGCGTCGAGGCCGGGTGGCCTTGGCCTGCGACTGTCCTCGAACCTCACCGCCGTCTGCGAAACTTCCGTCAGATCATAAAGCTCCTCATGCACATCTCCGTCGGGCGTTGACACCACAACCCGAAGCGGAGACCACGGCGGCTCAGTCGGATGCTGAAGCACCGGGCCCCTCACGCGCCGCTGATGCCGCATCGGTGTGCCGGCGTACTGAGCCCACGCCCGCTGCGTGCAGCCCAAGAGGGCCGCCACCAGCGTCATCACCGAGAGAGGGACGGGCCCGAGGCGCAAGCACGCGCGTGGTCACCAAGCTCCCGAAGCGCACGAACTGAGAGCCGAGCGCGATGGGGTTCACCACGATCAGCAGCAAGGCCAACCAGCCCGTCGACCAGTCGCCTCCACCCCCGCCGAAGGCCTCTGGGCCCTCAGCGGCTGTCTCCGCCGGCGCAGCTGGCGCCGCCAGGCAAACCGCGGGCGGGTGGTTGTGCACTGGCGCCCCGGCAGGGCAAGCAGGGCACGCTGGCGGCTGCGGGCGCCGGGCACGCAGGACGGCGCGACACGGTGCCGACCACCCAGTCCGCGTACCGCGCAGGGGGGCCCCTGAACATACAAGGCGGAAGAATGCTGTCCTTCCGGTGCCTGGCACCGGTAACAGCTTGAGCACAATCGGTTGCGGGCGAAAAGCGCGCGGCCTCCTTCCCAACAGAAGCTCTCAGATAAGATTCACATGCCCGCATTGCCATATATATATATATACACAGATATGTATACACAAACATAAGCATCTATATATATATGTGTATATGTATATATATATATACGCGTTGGGAAGTTGGGAAGGTTGTTCATCCATCTTATGCGGGTTGACTGTAAATCCACACGGAAACCGAACACTCCGTATGGAGTTACTCTGTATGGACTCAGCCTCCGCCAGAGGGAGGAGGCAACCAGGACATCACGAGGAGCCTGGTTGTGTATGATTCGAGGCGGCGCCCGTGACCGGCCCCACACCCTCCCCCCGCCCCGCCCCCTGGTGACGTCACGATTCGCGCTGGCGCCGAATGTGTGAATTGGCCATTCCTGAACATTTCCAGGCGAAGCGGGCGCGAATCATGACGTGACAGGCCCCCTCGCACCCTCCCCCCCGCCCCCTGGTTACGCTCGTTATTGCCAGGGGATAAATGAAGGCCTCCCAGATGGTGTCCGAGCAGATGGGGACAGAGGATCGCGACGCCGGCGATGCATCGGCGACGTCGGCGTGGAGAAAATTGGATTCTATATCGAGACGCATCGCCGATGCATCGCCGATGCGGCGCGACCCTCCGACCCCATCCACTCACACCCCATCTGGGAGGCCTAGGCCAAAAAGATGGTGCCGAGTGTAATGAAGCCTGGGATAGGCTTGGGAGCGAAGGGGGCACATCGC